AATTGGTTTATTTCACAAAGTAAGGATCATAGACAAACATAGAGTGAATACTTGGTGTATGGCAAAGCTATTGTTTAGAAAAACATAGTGTACATGATTGGAGCATGGGACAACTAGTGTTTTTAATTCAAGTATAAAGTTGATAAAACCGAAACAATGAATAATGAGTAATCAGTATGGTGATAAATAAAAGTATTTATTTATATTCATAGGGTTTGATACCATATTTGATTCATTTATTCTTGTGTTTCACTTTGCATGTTTTGACTTCCAGAATAACTAAGTCGCTCTTCCTGAATGATTAAGTTATTCAAACCATCCACAGTCGGTCATATGTTGGAAGTAGATATGAATCAAGACTGTCATGGGTTGGTTTGTAGAGGTCCAAGTTGGTGGACAAAGTGGTGCTACAACACTCATGAGTGCTCATAAGTTCTGAGTATTGGATTCAACCCGCGCTCATTTGAATCACTTCATGGATTTTATCACGAGTGATCATGAGACGATAATATCTTATATTCTTCAAACCTAGAGATATGAGTTGTTACTATGAGTTGGTTATACATTGATTGCACGAAAACGCATTTGGTAACTCGATGTTATAAAACGTGCCTTTGTGTATGATTCAACAAGTAGTAGAACAAGCCATATGAGTCGAAGTTTATCCATTCCTTTTACCTTCGGGATAAAAGCGATATATGTGGGCCCCTCGATGATTTAGCGATGACACATGTGAGTGCTTGGCCAAGCCAGGACTGATTTGATTTGTTCAATCAGTCAGTCATCATAAATCGAAAATCGGGAAACAACAAATAGACAGAGAGAATGATTATAATCCATGTCTCAGTCCATATGATATCTAGAATGGAGGAATATATGATCCCTTATCTAATGGACAAGTCATTGACAAAGTCAGAGTTCGACAGCGGCTTTAAGAGCTACGATTGCCAGTTAGGTTTTGAAGTCATACTCAATAATAGTTTTAGACTTATCCAAGTGGGAGACTGTTGGATTAATGTCTAAGTCCATAACTATATTTGGTATGTACTTGACCCGACCCGGCATGGTCCATTTGGGTTGCACTTCACCAGCACAATTTATATGGATAGTCTTTTGAGAATAATATATTTATGATTTATATTAATATATTATAAGTTCTAATATATTAATATGGAATCATATTATTTAATTAGTATTGATCAAGAATTAATTTAGAATTAATTAAGTGATCAAAAAGAACTAATTAAATATGGACTCTTATATATATGGAATGGGCCAAGTTCATTTAGGTTGGGCTAAGCTTTCATGGATGGTCCATGGAGCTTTTAACCCATGGATCCTATGTAAATGAAAGGTCATGGGTATTAGGGTTTACATGGATGTAACCCTAATCCTCCATAATATATAAAGGGGTCCTTGGCTCACAAAATTGGCACAAGTGTGTGAAAATAAGAGTGAGCCGATTTTAGTGTGCATACATATTCTCTCAAGTTCTTCCAAGGTGTTTTGGTGATTTGTGATTCCATTTGAGGCTTCCACACTATTGGGGCTAAGCTCTTAAAGCTTGAAGACATCAAGCTACATCAAAAGGTATGTCATCTAACTAGAACTTTGTAGTATAGGTGCTTCATAATATGCTAGTTAGGATGAAACCTTGGAATAGTTAATATTTGCATGTATAATAGAGAAAACATAGATCCAAGGTTTATAGGGTTGCATGTACACCATAGGAGTGTTAGAATGCTCAAAAACCCAACACTTTCGACAGTCGTCTTGGGGCCTTTTGGGCCATATTCGTCACGGGTAGCATGAAGATGGTGGTGTCAGTTGCGGGAGTTGTTTATTCATTGGATGTTTAAAAGAATTGTATTTTCGCATGGAT